TAACCAGTTCCCCAGCAACTCCAAAGAGGTGAATGACAAGCCCAGCCCTTCATACCGGGGCACTGAAGCCCCCAGGGGCTGGCTGACTTGCGTCAAACCACGAGGTCATACAGTTGTGTGTTACACACAAGGACCAAAAAGCGTCCTCTTGACTCCCAGGGTCTTTTGTCCCTTAATCCGCACTACACCTTTTAGCTTAGCTTCCTCATGTGTAAAATGAAAAGAACCTTCCACCACCTCTAGTTTTTGGAAGACAATGAATGAGGCACAGGGGTAGGCAGCGCTGGTTGAGGTTGAAGCAGCGTGAGTTTGCAAACTCCAGAACTACACCTCCCTTCCGCCCCATCCCCATTCTACGTCTTCTTCTTGTACCTCCCTCGAGTTGCCGCTTCCTTTCAACTCCTCTTCCGGACCTTCGTATATGACCCGCCCGCTTCTTCCGGTCCCTCCCCCGAGAGCCCGCCCTCCTTTCTCCGGTCTCTTCCCACGAGAGCCCCTCTCTTCCGGTCCCTAGCTGAGGCTCCGCCCCCTTGGGTGTTCCTTCCTCCGCCATCCCCATTGGCGGAAAATCCGAGCCGCCCCTCCAGGTTGCCTGTCCCCGGAAGTGACGATAAAAGCCCTCCTCTAAGGAAGTGACGGCAGGCGTGCCCTTGACGGGTGGGGTGGGCTGTGCATCCCTCCATTCGTGCTGCGGGGAGGTAGGAGGCCGGGGGACGCGGGTGGCTCCAGGTGGTACCCCGGCTGAGTCACGCTGCGGGCGCGTCCCTACGGGGTCCGGTGGCTGAGTGGGCGAAAGCCCCGGGCGGGAGGACCTGCCCTCCGGAGAGCCGGTCCCTGGTGACGTCCGAGTCCCCCAATCCCCTCCCCGCGCGCGTTCCTTTCGTAGTTCTCCCCCAGACTCCTGTTTCTGTGCCTTTCAGTTCCTCCTGGAATTGTTGTGGTTCCTCTTTCCAGATCCTTTGACAAGCCCCCCTTTTTCCTTAATTTCCCATTAAAACGCTACTTTAAAAAGTAATCGATAGAGTGAGGACGTTGCAGACAGTCTTGGGTTCCAGTGTCGATTGTCATTTAATAGTTGGGTTACTTGGGGCGTGTTACAACTTAACTAAGCCTCGGATTCCTTATCTGTAATACGGGCAATACTCTAGAAAGTTTCTCAAAGTTGATCTGGGAGGACTATTATGTATGTAAGGCACTTGGCCCTTAGCAGGTACTACGCAAACAGAGGTTCCTCCCCCCCTTCCTTCTGTTGTAATCCCACCAATATCTGATTTCTTTTTGGTTGTCAACCCAGTTTTCTTGTCCTGGTTTGCAGTTCCTTCCCTTTGATTCTCGTTCTTCACTCACCTCTACTGCAAAAACTTTATACTATATTATTTCTTGGCATTTTGCTTCCAGCCCTGCATCTTGAGCCCCTCAGTACTCCCAAATGCATTTCTTTTTCTGGTGTTTCAACTTCCTGTTGTCTTCAACAGCTCTTCCTGCCTCTTCCCCTGGCATATGGCTCAGCGACTTCTGCTGAGGAGGTTCCTGGCCTCCACTATCTCCAGGAAGTCCCCTCAAGGTCGGTGGGAACCCCTCACCTCCAGGGCCCTGCAGACCCCACAATGCAGTCCTGGTGACCTGACAGTAACACCCAGCCAAGCACGGTCAATATACACCACCAGAGTCTGTACAACCACCTTTAACATCCAGGATGGACCTGACTTTCAAGACCGAGTCGTCAACAGCGAGACACCAGTGGTTGTGGATTTCCATGCACAGTGAGTCCAGGGAGTCGAGAGAAGACTGGGGTGTCACTTGTTCAGATATTTTTTTGAGTGCCTGCTATGTCTCGTACCGTGTTTGGTGCTTCTCATATATACTCACTGCGAAGACTGGGAAGACCCAATCCCTGCTCTCTAACATTGAGTGTAGTCTGATAGGAAACAGACTGGTAAACAGTGTTCAAAGCTCACTGTGACTAGTGCTGGGAAACGCTTGTGTTGTGTATCTCATTGCCCGAATGGCTCAGAACCATCTTCAGCTTGGACCAAAGCATGAAAAATACAACTACAGCAGCATTTAGCTTTTGGCATATATCAGTTCCTGGTCCTGCAGATAGGTTGATTTTATTTTAACATCTTAACCACCAAAACTGGGAAGGGATGACAAAGAGTTATCAGTGCCACCGCAGTGGTGCCCTAGGTGTGGGGGATGGGCAGGAGTGTCTTTTCAGTGCTGTGAGAGTTTGTTGTTGGGATATTGAAATGCCTGTGGCCTAGTGATTTTTAGCCTGGCTTTCATTTCCAGATCTTTGGGGCCTGGTTAGACTCGGCTATTAGAAAGCTGGACGAACCCCTCAGAATGAGATATTCTGGAAGGAGCCCGTGTAGCATGAGTTACAAGTTAGGAGGCTTTCTGGGCAACTTTCTAACAGATTCTTTTGCTTGCTTTCTTGTTCTTTCTCTGATTCACCATGTGGCCTTGGGAAGGCCACTTGATGTCCGTGTCCCTCCCTTTTTTCACTTGTAATAGGAGATAAGGTCTCGCAGCCTGGGTTTTTTGGTGTTGTAAGTTCATGAATTGAAATCTCTGAATGGAAAGAGTTTTAAAGGCTAAGAATAAAATAGGAGTCATCAGCTAGGGCTCCATGTTCTGCCCTCCTGGTATAGTGAGCACTCTAAGGTTTCCAAAATGAATGGTAAGTGGGGTGATGCTTCATTTTCTTCTCTAACAAGGAAGCAAGGTGTGAGTTTGTTTATTCAGTGCCAGGCACTGTCCGTATTGCCATATACCTAGGGATGACAGCCTGTTCTCAAAGAGTCAACACCTAGAGGGACACACCTGTGTTCTGTGCAGCGATAGCCATTGACACAGGGCCTGGGGATCACAGAATAAGCTGGGGCTAAAAAGAAGACACGTAGAACACAACCTTGGGTTGCAGTCCCAGCCGTGCTTCTTACGAGCTCTATGACCTTGCACAGTTTCTTAACTTGTGTGGGGCTCGGTGTCTTAGGAAGATGTTGAGGGTTCTGTGCAGTGAAAGATGAGAAGGTCCTGGCATATTGTAGACACTCCCTAGCCACTGGTTTCTCCTCCCTCTAGTTCTGAGTCAATGAGGTGTTTAAAGTAATTCTATAGCTTACAAAGCATGTTTATCCACATGGCCTTACTTAGTGGATTTCTCATTACAGCTTTGAGAGGCATAGTCTTTCTTTTTCAAATGGAGAAACTGGGGCTCTAGAACGTCCAGCTGGTGGGTCAGGAGCCTCTGTTTGAACCCAAACCTTTTTACTTCGAATCCCGTACTCTTCTACATGACAGTCTGTTTCTTGTAGATATACTGAAATAAGTGAAAGAACCTTTATCAGAGTGTTGGGATGAGGCCTGTGTCTTAGAAGTTAGGGACCTATGAGAATTCTCCCATTGCAGAGTCTCCTGACATTACCATTTGGCATGTCAACATCACAGGTTAATATTCAAACACTGTAAACAGGTAATAAGGGCAAAAGGTCCCTCAGTAAGATGTGTGTCAAGGGAAGGTTTTGGGGAGACCATACGAGGTTGGTGAGCGCTTTTGTAACGGTATGCTTCCTTTCTTCCCTTCCAAGGTGGTGTGGTCCCTGCAAGATCTTGGGGCCAAGGTTAGAGAAGGTGGTGGCCAAACAGCATGGAAAGGTGGTGATGGCCAAGGTGGATATTGACGACCACACAGACCTCGCCATAGAGTATGAGGTATGGGTTGGCAGGGGATTGCCACAGGGCAGCTGGTGTGGGGCATGCTTGGGGCCACAGGATAGCAGGTGCAGGGGTTGTCTTGGGGCCACCAGGTAGCCAGTAAGAGGAGGTGTCTTGGTTTTTCTAGTTCTCAGTTCACGGCACTTTGCAGAGGTGGCTCCGTTGATCCTGTGAACCACTTGTCTTTCATCACCTCCAGGAGGTGGAATGTATAACCCAGAACACCAGGTGGGTCTCTGTATCTATCCAGCCACGTGCGCAGTCAGCAATCATTTGTGAGCCCTCCAGTGGGCCAGGCATTCAAAACTCTGGCACAGATTAGCTGAGCTCATTGTCCCCAAGCAGCTCTTAGTCTAGTGGGAGAACAGTTAAGTTATCAGGTCATTTCGGCGTAGGGTGAGAAGTGCTGAGAGAAGAGGTGCACAGAGGAAGGGACTGATTGTTCCTGGAGGGGGGAGTAGAGGGGACAGGGAAGGACATTAGAGGAACTCTGAGCAGATCCGTGGAGGAGGAAGGGCCTAGAGCGAGCATGCACAAGGGCATGGGGCAGGCTGATGTGTTCCATTTGCTTTGCATTCATTCAACAGAGATTTATTCAGAGTCCCTTAAATGCCAGGTGCTGTACTTGGTGCTGAAGATGTGGCAGTGAACAAAACTGACAAAACCCCTGTCTTCATGGAGCCCACATTCCAGCATTTAGATTAGGGGTTGGCAAGCTTGTTCTCTAAAGGACCAGGTGGTACATATTTGAGGCGTTGTAGGGCAAACACTCAACTCTCATTGTAGCACTACAGCAGCCATAGACAGTATATAAACAAATGGGCATGGTTGTGTGCTAAGAAAACTTTATTTATAAAAACAGGCAGTGGGCTGGGTTTGGCCTACGGGCTGTAGTTCCCTGATCCCTGTTTTCGATAATAAGTGCTATGGGGAAAAATGAAGGAGTGGGAGTGCTGAGCTTGGGACTGGGGAGGGTTTCGTTTTTGAAAAGATAGGGTAGAGATATCCTCGATGAGAAGCTGACATCTGCACTGAGGGCTGAAGGGAATAAGGAGTGAATTACGCAGCTCCTTGGAAGAGTGAGCCAGTCAAATGAAAAGGTCCTGAGGTCAGGGTCTCACAGGTTTGCTCACAGAATAGCAGGGCTGTGCCTGGAGCAGAGCATGCTGGGAGAAGAGGAACAGGAAATGCATGGGAAGTGAGGCCATCCTCTGGGCCTTGGGGATCGCTGTAGTCAGAGAAAGGGGAGAGGTCCCTTGGGGCTAGATGGCCGGAGTGAAGGGTGGAGCAAGGAGTGAAAGGACAGGCAGCTGAGAAAGCCAACTGCAGCCCTCATGGAAGGCACCTGCATAGCCTTGCTGAGGATAGCGTTGTTACAGAGTCATAGCTGCACCTGGTGGCCGGTGGGCCAATCCAGCTCCATGACAGGTTTGGTATGGTCCTCAAAGTGCTTTTTGCAAATACCAAACCAGGTGCTGATATTTAAAATTCAGATTTTATGGGAAAAAATCCATATTTGTTGTTCTCTTGAAATAATCTGGATCTGGCCAGAGTGAACCTTCATCTCTCCCTCCTTGGTTAGGCAACAAGAGATTGAAAGAGGATCAAATCTTACTAGACCAGCATGTCCTTGTGGCAGGAAATGTGTGGGAGCAGGGGTGACAATCAGCTGGCTACCCTTTGAGCTGGGGCTGGAGGGATCACCCAAAGGAAAACCAGGCAGTAGGTGCTGAGCAGGCAAAGCTGGTTGGGGGTATGTTACCAAAGTAAGACCATCCACGGCACTGGGGAACCAAGGCTGCCACAGGATCTTGACTGGGGTTTTTTTGGTTTTTGGGGGTTTTTTTTTTAAAGATTTTTATTGGGGAATTGGGGAAGGGGAACAGACAAGTTGCTGTCGTTTTGTTCTTCAGTCTAGTTGTGGAGGATGTTGCTTCACTGGCCCAAGTTGGCACCATCATTGCGCTCTTCCCGGGTGAGGCAGATCAGTCGCCGGCTTCTGGACGGCCGCTCACTGCGGCTTGAGGGCCGCTCATGCTGGCTGCTGGCTGCTGGCTACACACGGTAGCCCATGGCAACCCACTGCCACAGGGGCTGTAGCCACGCAGTCACCAGGGACTCGCAACTCACAGCCTCCCAGCTCCAGGTTGAGCTGTTGTTCAGCATCTTAGCTGTAGAGGGCAGTGTCACTGGCCCTCATATGTGGGATCCGAACTAGGGCCCTCTGGCATCCCAAACCAGTTCTTAACCATCGCGCCACTCAGCCGGCCCTTGGCTGTTTTTTTAAAAGGGGCACTCGTGTGACCATTTCGACACCCCTAGCTTTCCTTATTTGTCCTTCCCTCCCCCAGAGGCCCATAGCAGCTGTGAAAATTAGGGTGTGACCTTCTGATTGAGCTTAGGACTGGAGCTGCCCAGGGTGATGGGCAGGCGTAGGATGCCCCGGGCTCCCTGCTGGCACTGCCCAACACCACAGCTTCAGCCTCAGCCAGTAGAACTTCAGCAGACACATCCTGAGCGCCAACCAGGTGCCAGGAACTGTGGTAACTGATGCAGAGGCAAAGAACCATAACTCAGTTCCTGTCAACTGTGGTCCCACAGTGGTGAGAATTTCCAAGACCACCCCACTGCAGAGAGCCTGGTGGTGGAGAGCGGACGCCGAAGTCCTGTGGCTAAACCTGGAAAGTGTGTGGGGGGCCCTCTTATAGGATCTTCTCTCTCCTCCTCCCTCTGTCCACTGTCCAGATAGCACATGGGTCACGCAGGAAGACCAAGGCTGCTGGGCGCAGTCACCTGACCCTGACCTTGGGCGGGTGTCCTGCAGGCTTAGGGGTGCGTCCTCACCACCCCCCCAGGCCTCTCCTTCCTTCCTTCTGGTACACCCGGTCTCTGGAAAGAGAGCTGAGAAAGAAGTTTCAGCTAAGAAATCCATAGTATCTCCTGGGACAGCTTCTTCCAAGGCCTGCAAGCGCTTTTCCAAATGTTGGATAACTTGTTGGAGAAGCTGCTTTAAATTATATTGAGGGACTCGGGTGCCTCTCCCCAAGCTCTCCTGATAGCCCCTGTATGCCCAGCACACCCTCAGGGTGGGTCTCCTTCCTCCCACGAACGCCTCTTACCTCGCGCCACACTCGTATGCTTCAGTCATCTGCCCATCCTAGAATTTCACTGCCTCCCGAAGGAGAGGGAGGGAAAGGCACTCGGGCGCTGGCGTTCCACTGTCTGTTGCCACCGCTCTCCCCGAGTCTTCACTACCCTGGCTTGGGGAAGTGAGAAGCTCTCTGCTCTCCCAGCGCCTCGGGGTCCTGCTGAGTGGCTGGGCATTCCCGGATCCTTCAGACCTTGCCAGCTAGCCGGAAAATTGTGGATGTGGGTGTGGACCCTGAGCCTTGATGCTTTCCCCTAGGGCTTCTGCATCTCACCTCACACTTGGAGTTTTATCCTTTTATTTCCTCATCTTATAGAGAATGCCCTTTAAAAAGCATTAGAAAAACAGCCAAGTTAACTATAAAGGGAGAAAAGTCACCTCTGATCTTATTATCCATACACAGCTACTGTCATCATTTGGGGTACCTTATGTGGGGTTTTTTGTTTGAATTATTTTTCTTTTTAATGGTCCATATGACCTCAAAGTTCATTGAAGAATAATATTTTATAGCTGGGATGTACTATACTTCATCACTATCCTATCCCCCTATTCTGAAAGTCTTCTAAATCGCTGCTTCTCAAACATGAATATGGCCTGGGATGTTGAAAAGCAGATAATGAGTAGGTCCAGGAAGGGTCTAAGATTCTACATTTCGAACAAGCTTTCAGGTGATGCCACTGCTGGGAGTCTGGGACCAAGCATCAAGGAGCAGAAGTTACGAAGCCCTGCGCTGGCCTCCTGGGGGCCACGGTATTCTCATAAAGGCCTCACCTGCCATCACAGCACGGCCTACCTGTCAGTGAGAGGGTTCACTCTCGGTGACGTCCATCTCATGGGTGTGCATGAGCATATAATGATGCGTATCCCCCATTCCAGCATCACACAGAATAGTTTCACTGCCCTAAAAATCCCCTGTGCTCCACCTTTTCCTCCCGCCTCTGACAGGAGTGAACCCCTGGCAACCACTGACCTTTTTGCTGTCTCCATGGTGTTGCCTTTTCCAGAATGTCACAGAGTTGGATTTGATTTTTTTCAGTAATAGCCTTTCTAACAACCGTTCTGTATCCAAAAGCTTTACAAAATATTTGGCGTTTCTGTTTTGAAACCCAACGTCCTTTTAATGCTTCCCTACGAGCCGGGACCCAGTATTTGTCTCCAATTCCTTGCTCTTGGGCCGAGGTACGGTGTAATTTGATCACTACTTCACAGAGAACGAAGTCAAGCATCTCGTTTCAGACCCCAGCTCTATCACGGTCTTCTCATCTCGAAAATGACCCCAGCTTGAGGCAGGAATTGATGAGCTAGAATGCAGAAGTGGTTAGTATCGTCCCTGACACTTAAAAAGCAACCCCATGTGTGGCAGCCGGGGTGACAGTGATCTTCCCCTTTGCGTTAGTTCTGCAGTTAGCTGGGGACGAGGTCTCCAGTCTCCTGCAGCACCTAGCACTGTGCCTGCCCCTGGGTAGGCCCTCAACAGTTCACAAGTGGAGGAAATCGGGGTGAGGCGGGAAAAGACGTGGCAGGGACATTGAGCTCTGGCAGTGCAGGGGCGTGGCCTGTAGATTAGTGAGAAGAGACCACATGCTCACACACACACACACACACACACACACACACACACACGCCTGCGCTGAGTTCTCAGGGTCTTCCGCCAAGCATGGGAGGCCCCAGGTGGCTTCATGGCTCACGAGGAGAGGCAGCCATCCTAGCACATCTTGTCATCTTTTCCCCAGCTCCTCCGTTCCCTGAGGGATGCTGAATTCTGGCTTCCCCACTTGCCCCTCTTAAAGTTCCAGAAGAATGTGCCAAGGACCTATGCCCTTCCCTTGAAGGAGGTGTTTATAGGCACCAGCCCCTCCTGATGGGTGAGCCACACTCAGGATCAGCAAAGCCACATCCTCCTCAGGGGTGAGGGAAGTCCAGTCACAGCCCAGGTATCCCTGCAGTGTTCCGAAAAATCCAGCGTCCGGCAAGCCCATGGCTGTGGGGGGCGGGGTGAGGGGGTTGTCAAACTTCAAAGCACGCCCTTGATCAGTAATGACTAGACCTTGGTTGTCAGGAAAATACAGTTGCGGCATGTCTGCTGTACACCCGGCTGCAGCATGGTCCGTGAGTTTACACAAGTACGATGGTGACCGGACCCATCTGGAGTCCTTCAGGAAGTGAGTCCACTCCAAGCCACCTCCATGGGTGTAGAGCCCTGCTTAGAGGACACGTAAAAACAATTAGGCCACATCTCACACAGCGACATACAGCTTTTATTTTCGTTAAGAAACAGGACAGGATGGGACCCAGTAAGGGCCAAGCTAAACAATTAGGGCTTGAGCCTTGTGCCTCAGTGGAGAGTGGCCAGATTTGAGGCCACTGCCTTCACGGACCACTAGAGGGCGCCAAAGAACAGAGCACCGGCCCTGTAACCTTGCCATCGAACCAAGGGCCTCTGACTCGCGGTGCATCCTGGAACAAGCTTCTGGGCCCTGCCTGGGTCTGGAGAGAGGGCGAGCCTCATGCCACCACTCATGCCAGGGTCAGGAATGACAAGGACAGGAACCAGTGACGTGGTTCCCATACACTGGGAAGTGTGTCAGCTGCCACCCACATCAGCCCCAGAACAGTCCTTGAAAGGGGCCTGAAGACACCAACAAAGGACAGGGACTGTTATCTTACCTGCCATGTTTGTCCCCAAAGCCCATTAGGAGAGGGGTGCACAGCCTACCGCATGAAGTCAGGGGGTGATGGCGCACCAACCTGGCCCCCAGTTCTTTCTTTGTAACTGACGTGTACATTTGGGACCGTGTAAACCTTAAGTCTGGTTCCCAAGATGACTCGTGGGCAGGACAGCACTCCGGGTATGTGAATACCTGCTATGTTTGTGTAAATCACTATTGTTACTTTGTAGTTAACTTGTGTGTAAGAAAGCCTGTGTTTATCTTGTTCTGTTTTTTTTTTTTTTTTCAAATGGCCACAAATGCCAGGCACGAAGCCCAGGGAACAGAAAATGCTCAGTGCCAGAGCACCATGGTCCTTGTTTACATACCATGTACTCTATACAGGTCCCCTGAGGGAGCTTGAGAAGATGCTTCATAGGCCAAGAATGTTGCTCCCAAGCCCCATAATAAATAAACATGGGATCCTACATGGCCGGGCCCCTCCTCCCACACTGCCCAGTAGAGTCTGGCCCCTGCGAACCGCCATGGCACTGAGCTAATGTGGTAGACTCCTCGGACCTGCCCTCTGCAGCCAGCATTCGCTGAATGCTCACTGTGTACCAGGCCCCGTGCCAGGTTCTAATACTGTTGATGGCCCTGCCAGGTGCAGGGCACTGTGCTGAGTTTGCTCACGTGGTTTCATTCAGCCCCCACACCCTTTAATATAAGTACCGTTAGTATCCGATTTGCTGATAACACTGAGACTTAAGAATCATGAAGTGACTTGCTCAGAGAGGCCCAAGCTCCTAACCACTCAGCTGTATATGTGAACCTTTAATCTTGATGCTAAACCCTCAAGGTAGATGCTACCATCCCCGTTTTATGGAAGAGGGCATGAAGGCTCCGAAGGTGGCATGACGTGGCCAGGGAATGAATGGCAAAGCCAGGATTCAGACATCTCCCTGTCTCCCCCGTGCCAGGTTGCCCCTCGGGAAAGTTCTCTTAGCCCCTCGTCTCTGCCCCGCCCCCAGCCGTGGCCTGCAGCTGCATGGGTTATTTTAATCTCTCCTGTCATTCCATCCAAACCACTGGGCTAGTGAGTCAGTCATGCGGTTAGGGGAGGAAGGGTATTGCTGGGAGCCCACATGGAAAAGTTTCTCCAGTGGGTGGACCTCCCGGCCCTGCTGTACCCCTGCACCAAGGGAAGGGGCCTTACCCATGCTTTGGGCGGTGACCGTCCTGCATAAGCCACCAGCCTTCCCCACAAAGCCTTGGGAACGGCGATTGAAAAGAGTTCACCCCTGAATGACTTGACCTCCCTTGTCCCCTCCATCTAGGTGTCGGCTGTGCCCACCGTACTAGCCATCAAGAACGGGGACGTGGTGGACAAGTTTGTGGGCATCAAGGATGAGGACCAGCTGGAGGCCTTCCTGAAGAAGCTGATTGGCTGACAAGCAGGGAAGAGCCTGCCCTAGCCCACTGGGGCCCCACGGTCCCAAGAGGGACCCCGATAGAACTCACAGTCCTGTGTCGGCCCTTCCCGCCTCCTCCCTTCTGTCTGGCCCCTGTGGACCCAGGCCTCCAAACACAAGCCTCGAGCGCGTCTAACCCGGCTGACTGCCAGGGTGGCCGCCAGAGGAAAGGTGCTGCTGATCTGGGGACAGCTGTCTTCCCACCCACCCTTTTCGTCTGCTCCCTCGAGGGCTGTCACAGGGCTCCCCAGATGCTGGGAGCGAGCCTCTGGCCAGCCACAGCATTGACTGTTGCAGCAGTAACTGCTTGGTCCTTACCTCCCTGGTCCCTTTTGATCCCAGCCCTGGTGCAGGCTCATCTGCCTCCTACATTTTTCTTTCCTGCTGTTGTTTTGTAAAAAGAAAAACAAGGGGAAAAGAAACCCAAACAAGCGAGAGTAATATATAATTCTCTCATTTTTTGTAGGTCTGTAATAAAGAACTTTATGTGATTCCCTTCTACCTCCTGCTGTGAAGAACAGACCCTGGGCCCCACACTAAATTACCCTACAGCCCCGAGTCCCCCAAAGAGCCACCTCCCTCCTCTCCCCCAGGCACAAAGGCAGTGGGTACGCGTTGGGCTGAGGGAGTCCTGCAGGCCCTTGACTCTGGGAGTCTTCAGACACCACCCTCCCTCACCATCAGCTGGCCTTTGGTTCTCTGAGCAGGAGGCTTCACTGAACAAACCGAACCAATAAAAGTAGGGTTAGCACTGTCGACAGCTTCCATTCTGTCTGGGTTCTGGGAGCCCCTATGACCCCTTCGCAGGCTGTGCTGCTCCCCATTTCCTCTGACGCTCCACCACCCGCTTGCCCTTAATCTGTTTTGTTACTAATGCTTGTCAGCGGCGGCCACTGTTCTGGGGACACCTTTACAAGTAAAACAAAAAGGTGTTCATTGTCCCCATTACACAGATGAGGACACTGAGGCTCACGGAGCAGAGCCAGAGTTTCTACCCAGACATGGGCTCTTAAACTGGCCCCTTGATCCTTCTGGGGCCGCCTCTGCTGACATGGCCACTCGGGCGGGAAGCCTGGCCCCGAGGGAGCCAGCCTGCCACCCTCCCTGCGTCTTGTTCCAGCTCCCCGTGGCCCATGGAGGAGGGGCCGGGCCTGCCAGCTGAGGAGCCTGCCTTCCGTCTCCCTTCTGGGGTTGAGCTGCTCTTTGGCTGGGTTGCCCAGCAGCAGTGCCAGCTTCCTGGGAGCCATGGGCATTCCACAGCAGGGGTCTCCTGGCCCCCTTCTCTGGCCCTGGGGTGCTACGTTCACTGCTGTGTGTTCTCAGTGGCTCGCCTGTTCCTACGGAAACTGCCTGAGTTCCTTTGGGGTCTTTGAGGAGTTACCCAAGGACTGCCTTGGGAAGGCTGCTGTAACGAGCGGGAGAGCAGGGTTGCCTCAGAAATGGGGCTTGTGGCCTCTGAAAGACCGCAGACCCAGGACCTGTCAAAGGCATATGGAGGGGAAATAAACCAGCAACTGGCATTAGTGGAGAGAGACCACAGCCGAGCGTCAGATGAAAGAGCAGCCGGTGCTCAGAGAAGCTCCTGGGTGCCAGACATTGTTCTAAGCACCTCACCCACCAGCAGCCCCACTAGGTGAGTATTATCATTGTTCCCTTTTACCCATGAGACCCACTCTGAGACATTGAGGACCTTGTCCAAGATCATGAAGCCCTCAGGTGCCTGGCTGGGGGTTCAAGGCCGGGCAGGCCAGCCCCTGCTCCTAAGCCTCCCCCATCATCATAAAATGGAGTGTATGTACGCTCTTAATCCCACAACAAGCTGACACGGCAGGTAGTCTCAGCTCATTTTACAGAAGAGGCACTGATGCTGAGCTTTTAGAGACACCCACAGAGTAAAGGGTGGGGCCAGATTCAGAGCCAGGCACCCTGACTCCGAAGCCCGGGCCCTTCCCACCATACCCCACTGCCACTCCTTAAAAGGTGCCCTTTGCCAAGCAGTTTTCACACACATTACCTCATTTAATTCCTCTCTTATGAGGCAAGTATTATTTCCATATTACAGGTGAAGAAACTGGTTCAGGGAAATTGACTTGCCCAAGGTCACGTCTAAAAAAGTGAAGATGCCAGAAAATGTTCAGTTGTGAACCTAGGCGGGGGTCTGGCCTCTCTGTCCCGGGTAGGTGTGGAGAAGGGCCGGCAAAGGCCTCTGCACTGCCCCCAGCTCCCTCTCCTTAAAAGGTGTGCTGCGCTCCCAGGGGGGCTGGTGGCCATGGCCTCCCAGGTTGGCAATCACTGCCCAGGAGGCTGCTTCTGGCGTGAGTCACCGGCTGTAAGCACAGAATCCTCGGGGTAATCCTGTGGACTAATTCCATGGTGCTGACCTCACTGGGACGCTGCTGGGTCTGCATGGTAGGGCCCACTGTTACCCTCCTACCTGTGGAAGGGGGCTTGGCAGTGCAGCTGCAGGGCCTGGAGGTCCCGCTGGGGGCAGGGGGTCCAGCCCCAGCCCCTCTTAAGCATAGATACCTGCTGAAAGCCAGGGAAAGGAGGCACGGCCGCAGGCAACCCCTCAACCTCAAGATGCCCCGGGTTGTGGCTTCTGGACATTTATTCTCCTGATATCAAGTTTATCCAGTTGGCTTTGAGGCAGGAGTCGGGGACGGAAGCTCAAGCTGGCTGTGCTGGCTCACTTGTGTCCTCTGCTGTCATTTCTGTCACACCCCTGCCAGGCAGGAGTTCTCGCCACTTCACAGATGAGCAGACTGAGCACAGCGTGATGTCAGTGGAATGGCTGAGAAGCCACTTCAAATAGGAACGGTCATCATCAAAGAGGATTAGCAGTTCTTAGAAGCATTTGGATAAATGAATGGCGGTCACTAACGTGGATTCCTTCTAAACATACAAAACACAGGAGGGAAACTGACCGTGTTCTCAAGAAGCTTATGCTCTAAGAGCAAGAGGCTGCAGGTCAGGGACCTCAGTCTCCCCTCAAAAGGGCACATGGAGGGGTGACGTGTCTAGGTCACAGTATGTTTGTGATAGGGACTTGAGGCCAAGTGCCCTGACTTCAGCCAGCCCTAAAATGAAAATGCGTCATGGCCTTTTCTTCTCTCGGCCTCAGGAGAGGTGAATGAGGAGAGCAGGCTCTGGGGCCAGGACCTGTCCGGTCAAGGGGATGTTGACCGTGCTGCCGCCAGTGCCCTTCCCAGCAGTCCCTGCCCCGCACAGCGGGCCTGGGTCCAGCTCAGCCCCAACCCCAGCCGTCTGGGGAAACCTTCTCCGGAAAGTGAAGGTAGTTCTGGCCAGGTCGCCGGAAATCCCTAATGTGTGGGTCCTGAGCTGGGAGGGTCCAGAGAACAATGTTGGGATGGGGACACTGTGGGACAAGCCAGGCTTTCAGGCATGCTGCCACAGTTCCTGTCTGCTGCCTGGAACAGCAGCTGCAGGCGTATCCCTGAGCCCTGAGCCCCAGGGCTGGATTCCATGGCTCCATTGGAAATGTGGGCCACTGGTTGTTTCCAGGAACCTCGCCTCTCCGTCTGCCTCCTGACAGCCTTTTGGAAGCTGGGGGCCACCACAGTGGTGTAACTAGGGCAGGAAGAATCAGACCTGGGTTCAAGTCCTGACTGCCTCCTACCAGTTGCGTGGCCTTGAGCAAGTTGCCTCACCATTCTGAGGCTCAGTTGTCACATCAGTAAAATGGGGACAACGATGGCTTGCGCTTGCAGGGTGCATGTTACATGTGTCATCTCCCTGAGTCTTCACAACAACCCCAAGAGGCAGGGACTGTCATTATCGCCATTTTACAGATGAGGAAACTGAGGCCCAGGGAGCTTAAGTAAGTCGGCATTAACAGATGTGGGAACTCGAATAGGAACTCAGTTGTGTTTGATTCCACAGTCTCTGTTCTTATCCATGAGCTACACGGCTTCCCCTTTGGGGCAAGGCTTTTCACCAGTTGGAGCCTCAGTGGCACCCTCTGCAAAATGGGGCTAATCCCAATCGCTAATGCATGAGGTCATGGTGAGAATGAAACGGGAAAGGGTGCCGAAGCCTTCTGGTACCAGGTGGGAGCTCAAGGAGTGTCCATCACTTTACTTTCCCCCTTCTCTCTGCTTTCCCCTACTCTAAGCAACATCTTAAACAGGAAACACCAGGCTTCCCGAGATAAGGACACAAGTACCCACCATGGGAGGGGCCCCTCCTTGAACCAGGCTGAGGGCCTTAGGTTTGGCTCAGTGTCCTGGCCCTGCCACCACTCCCTTCTGCCCTAGAGCTGGCTCAGTGGTGCCTGTGAACTCAGGCAACCTCAGGGAATCAGAGGTGGTGACCTCACCCTTGGAGAATGCCCCCTGGAATTCACCCTGAGTCTGGTCCTCTGTTCTCCATGCATCCCGCCATGTCTGACAGCACTCAGAGCTCACAACTCTAAGCCAGCTCGCCACACACAGCTGTTGATGGGGGCACTTCTTGTGAGCTAGGCCACTCCTGTTACACAGCTGCTATTTATTAATTGGGGGGGCAGCCGGTTCCCCAGCTTGGGCCAGCTTACTGGGTGACCATAGGCAAGTAGCTGTCTCCCTGGTGTGCTGCCTCCCTCAGCCTCCCTCCCAGCAGGGAGGCTGTCTAGCATCAATCCCCCTTTGTGTCCCGCACTGCTCGATGCTCCACCCACATCTAACCCTCCCAACACCCAGAGGAAACAATTGTTGTTCCCATTTCACATATGAAGAAATGGAGGCCCAGAGAGGTGGTGTGACACGCCCAAGACACACCCTGGGACATGGGCTGTGGGTGGCCTGACCCCATCTTTCATCCCTCCCCCGTTGCCATATTGCTACCTCCAGGACAGTCAAAGGACCTGCCAAGAGTGGGGGCCCTGGGAGCCTCTCTTTTATCTGCTTCCCCCACGCTGATCCCTGGCAGAAGGCAGGAGATCCCCTTTGCTCAGTATATTCCTAAGGCTGGAATATTCTCTAATTCCCAACCGCACGTCCTAACCTCAGCCAGCTGGTGAGGGAGTGCCTCTCGGGGGCTGTCTGGTGCTAGGAATGAGGAATTCAAAGCAGAGGTCCCAGCTCTCACCCACGTGGAGATCACAGCAAACACACTGATACAATCTAAGAATGAATACCACAGCAGAAACAAATACCATTTACCATCATGAAGGTAAAGCACAGACTAAAGCTCTCAGGAGAAGCAAACCGCAAGGGCTGTTGGGGAAACCATGGAGAGAAGGTGATGTCCCAGAAGGGGTTTGTCGGGCCGGCCGAGTGGCGCACTGGTTAAGAGTTGGCTTGGGTCGCCAGCTCTGAGCAGCAGGGCCCTGGTTCGGATCCCACATGAGGGCCAGTGATACTACGCCCTCTACAGCTAAGACGGTGAACAACAGCTCGACCTGGAGCTGGGCTGCCGTGAGTGGCTGGCGACGGCGTAGGTTGCAGTGGAGCTGCAGTGGGTTCCCGTAAGCTACTGCGAATGGCTAGCAGCTGGCATGAGTGGCCGGCAGCAGACATGAGCTGCCAAGAGCCCCCATGAGCGACCGTCCAGTGGCCAGTGACCGATCTGCCTCACCGGGAAGAGCACAATGATAATACCAACATGGACCAGTGAAGCGACGTCCTCCACAATTAGACTAAAGAACAAAAGGACAGCAACTTGTCTGTTCCCCTTCCCTGATTCCCTAATAAAATCTTTAAAAAAAAGAAGGGTTTTGCCTTGAGGGTGGAGGGAGGACAAAGAAGGTAAAGGAGGTC